GTCGAGTCGCTGCAATGAGTGTCGCTGCTCGTGTGGCGGAGGAAGTTGGCGTCAAGGTTGGAAACGAAGTTGGTTACTCGATTCGTTTTGAAGATTGCACCAGCGATAAAACAATCCTCAAGTATATGACGGATGGCATGCTGCTCAGGGAGTTTATGACAGAGCCAGATTTGGCTGGGTATTCAGCACTGATGATTGACGAAGCACACGAACGGACGGTGCACACTGACATCTTACTTGCCCTTGTCAAGGATTTAGCACGGGAAAGAAAGGACCTTAAGCTTCTCATCTCTTCTGCTACCATGAATGCGGAGAAATTCGCCAACTATTTTGATGATGCACCGATTTTCAATATTCCCGGTCGAAGATACCCTGTTGACATTTACTATACGCCCGCCCCTGAAGCCAACTACCTGGCCGCGGCTATCACGACCGTTTTTCAGATTCATACGACACAGCCCAAGGGCGACATTCTCATCTTTCTCACCGGCCAAGATGAGATTGAGGCTGCGGAACAGGAGATTACAGAAACAGCAAAAAAGCTTGGCAGTAGAATAAAGGAACTGGTGATTTGCCCCATCTATGCCAACCTGCCATCAGATCTGCAAGCCAAAATTTTCGAGCCGACGCCTGAAGGGGCGAGAAAGGTTGTTCTTGCCACCAACATTGCCGAGACCAGTTTGACTATTGACGGAATTGTCTATGTCATTGACCCTGGATATGTGAAGGAAAACATTTACAATCCTGCCACTGGCATGTCAAACTTGGTTGCAGTACCCTGCTCTCGGGCATCCGCCAACCAGAGAAGTGGGCGTGCCGGTCGTGTCGGGCCCGGAAAATGCTTCCGCCTGTACACAAAGTTTGCGTACATGAACGAGATGGATGAGTCAACTACGCCGGAAATCCAGCGGACAAACCTCAACGGGGTTGTTCTGCAGTTGAAGTCGCTCGGTATCAATGAGCTGCTTGACTTTGAGTTTATGGATCCACCTCCAACAGAAGCACTAATCGGCGCCCTGAATCAGCTGTTTGCCCTGCAGGCTCTGAACCACAAGGGCGAACTAACAAAAATGGGCCGTCAGATGGCCGAGTTTCCCACCGACCCCATGCTGGCCAAAGCCGTGCTGGCTGCCGACAAGGAGGGCTGTGTCGAGGAAGTGCTGTCGATTGTCTCCATGCTCGGCGAGGCTTCCGCCCTGTTCTTCCGACCAAAGGACAAGAAAATCCACGCGGATAGTGCCAGAAACAGATTCACCGTCAAGGACGGCGGAGACCACGTCACTTTACTCAACATCTGGAATCAATGGGTGGACAGCGATTTTTCGCCAGTCTGGTCGCGCGAAAACTTCCTGCAACAGCGGTCACTTACCCGCGCGCGCGACGTGAGGGACCAGCTGGCGAAGCTTTGTGAACGAGTCGAGGTGTCACCATCGACGTGTGGCGCCAACAATCTTGGGCCTATCAAGCGTGCCATCACGGCGGGCTTCTTCCCCAACGCGGCACGGCTGCAGAAGAGCGGCGACAGCTATCGCACCGTCAAGAATAACACGACGGTGTGGATCCACCCCAGCAGCGTGCTCATGTCGGTCGACCCCCCTGAGAAGATGATTATATACTTTGAGCTGGTGCAGACAACCAAGGAGTATATGCGCGGGGTGATTCCTATTGAGCCGAGGTGGTTGGCTGAGCTGGCGCCGCACTTTCACAAGAAGAAGGATGTGGAGGCCATGGAGGAGAAGAAGATGCCCAAGAAGCAGAGATAGCATGGAGTAGGCTTGCCGCTCTTGATGAAGTTATGAATGTACATGTACTTTGCGGGACTAGCATACGGGGGGCGTATTGTCGGAAATGTATATACTTGGTACGGCGCCTGCTGGCCTTGCTAGCTTCTACATGGACGATGGTAAGAAGAATCTTGCTATTATTCTATTCGTGCTACGCCCATTTGATGTCATCTGATAGCTGCCATTTTTATGGCTAATTTCGCAGCGGAGACAGCAAGAGAAGCCATTTTAGCACTGCTACTAGTTTGGTCACGCTTGTTTAATTCCATAGGCTAAATGTGGCCAATTCATCACGACATCGAGCTGAGTCACCCTCCTGAATTAGGTAATTAGTTCTGATGACAAGTTGCCCGTGGCATCTACCAGAGTCACAAGGCATTATACTAAAAGTTTCGAAAGGCCTGCAAACAAGTCACGGTGGGTTTTGGCGCCCACAGCGGAATGGGCGCAGTGTGAAAATCGTCATCACAGTAAAGCCACAAGCGTAAATGTACAGTATGATGCAATAGCCAATGTTGAATTGAGCTATCAGGGCGATGGTCCCATATCTGTTCCATCACATGTTGAACTAGTCTGCCATGGAGGTTCTGAACATCTTCAGCGACAAGACTAGCCGTAAAATCGAGAGACTGCCGCGCCGACAATATCGTACAGATATCCTCATCCAGTCCCCATCTGTTGCCGTACGCTGTGAGTCGTCCTGGCCATCCGGAATGACGAATGGCATATGATCCCGCTTAGGGGCCGATATAGCGATACATGACGTCCGTCCGCACCGAGTACTTGACCCCCTCCGTGACGTCTGCGCCCGAGTGCCGCAGGCCGCTCTGCTGGAAAATGAGAGCGCGCCCCGTCATGGCTTGAATGTCAAAGGACCTCGTCTCGTCTTCGGAGTAGAAGCTTGTCGCACCTCCCACACAGCCTCCCTCTGGTGGTGGGGATTGCATGGTCGACGAGTTCAAGTACACGTGGATAGAGTAGAAAGAAGCGTAACGTGTCCCGTTCTCGCTTGGGGGCGAGTACGACCCGTCGTCATGTGCTGGCTCCGTCAGTCTCTATCATGGAAAGGTCTGGGATGAAACTTACCCTTGAAGTATTCCCCTTGGGTATACCTGAGGATCCTCAACCGGTTGTTGAGTCCCGCAAGTTCCCAGTGCTCAGGGTTGATAGCTGCGTTGTCCGATGTTTCGTCCAACTTTGGTGGTCTGGCCAGGACCTCTTTGACTCCCGGGGCCTCGAGACATCGGTTGAAAATCGAGTCCACCATGCCTTGGTGATCCCAGACCTTGCGCGAGCCCGAGCGGTACTTGGGGATGTGCGACTCCAAGCCTCCCCCGACGTTGATCAGCGCTGGTGACCAATCTGGTACTGCCTCCTTTGCCAGCTCCATAAATTGTTGACATTCGGGTTCCGATAGAACGTTGTCTAGAACGACGGCGATCTTGCCTTCGTACTCTGGGATACTGGAAGAAGCGAAGTCGACGTGTTCCATCTTGACGGGCTCAGGAGGTGGCCCAGCGAGGAAATCCTCGGGGATGGCGACATCGTTGTAGGTGTATTTAACGACGCGGGGCTCGCCCGCCTTGATCTCTTCTTCTGAGGCGTAGCCCATGTTGGCGGTTGCAGGATGAGCGGATTGCTGGGCGGTTGGATGCTCGAAGAAGATGGTGGTTGTTGAAGTTCAAATCGCTATTTGGAGCAGACGATTTGAGGATGAGGATTCACCTACGGAAGTGCTGGGAAACGTCGTCTTTATATATTGCGGCGCGACTGCCAGGCCGCAGCCTACAGATGTTGAACTGAGTCTGACTGAAGCTGATCATGTTTGCATGGAAAGTCGTGAATCGTGATGAGCTCCGCCTCCCCATGCACAGGTTCGTTTTCTTTATTGCATGTTTCAACGCTCGTGCAGCGAGGAGCACGCACCCGCCGAAACCTGGCTGGCCATTAGTTTATGTTCAGGTCGTCTCCCAAGAATGTACAGAGTCGACGGCACCTCTCACCGTGTCACCCCCAAGAGGCCGCAGCATGCAGCTGCACATGTACGATGGCCCCGCGGCCAGGGCGAAAGGTTGGGAAGAGAAATTGCCGTTTGAACATGCGCTGATGCCCTCCGCCTTTGTTGGGACCAGGCTTTTGCGGACGTTTGTGCCTGTGTGAAACGTAAGCTGGGGCGAAGCATCTCGTTGGGACAATGCGTCAATGACAATCAGTGCATGCATGTGGTAGCGAGGCGTCACCTGACGCGTCTGGTTGCCGAATTTCCAATCAACTACGTACTTCGTACTCTGTACCGTGACACAAAATATCACAGCCACCAGAGCTCTGACCACAGACACCTAGCAGACAGTTGAACCCTCGACACCCAGTTCCTCTGCAGAGTGCTTATTCTTGCGCCCAAGATGACCCTACTTTGATCCTGTCGCCATCCCGCACTTCGTCTCTCAGCTAAACTCCGCTTCTGCTGTCCGAGTGCGGCTCCAGGCCTCGTGAATGGCCTTGTCGTTAATGAACATGCTGTTCATCTCACACAGTGGTCCTCTGTCATCATCTTGTCGTAGACGATTGCAATTTATGACCAGACTCCAACACACAACAGAATACACGAGGCTTCACTGGCGGCCCTCACTAATATGTACTCGCGTCATAGTCCTACAGATTCATCAAAGATCATGCTCCCGGGTGGTATCAACATACTCGCCCACTCCGACGACGACATTCGATATCCCATACCCAGGACCAGAGCCGCCTTGCACAACCCGAGAGGCAATTCACAATGCCCCGAAACCTGTCAGTCGACCGAGCCACGATCCTCCGAAACACCCCCAAATGTGGATAGAGAACGACGACAGCATGAGGCAATAATTGTGACCCTGGTTCCCATTGCCGTATTTCTGGCTGCGGCCTCGATCAGCTGGTTCATCTCAGATGCCTACCTCTTCCCCTATCAACCTATTCGACGGGTTTTCCCCCGTCTCAAGACCACTACGTTTCCGCCTTAATCCGGTCAGCAAGTACGACCACCTCCCAATAGAGACCCAAAGTGGCGAAACGACCACGACGGACTTAATGACCGAGGTGAAGTACTCAAAGCTAAGTGGCCGAAGCCACCTTGTCAAAGAAATGCAACAGTTCTAGACCGTTTCCAGCAGAATAGCCGACAGGTCGATGGAATGAAACATTCTCGCCCGCTGGACAGTGAATACGATCCAGCACATGAACTACCTCACCTTGTCTGCCGCCATCATTGGTGACAAGGAAAAGAAGGCTGCCCAGTTGCAACAGCTCTTCGACGAGCAGGCAAGCAAAGCCGCCACCCAGCTGAATACGCTCCTTGTTGATGGCAAGCAACTTGAAAGCGACTTCAGTGTGCTTGCCTACCATCTACTGAATACCAGGGACCTTGCCGAGCCGGAGAAGTCTCAATTGAGTGAAGACGAAGTGCTGCTCTCGATGGTCTGGGGCCTGGTCAACCCTGCGTCTTGCAGGCTAATTTCACTGAAACATAGTGGACTAAGATCTTAATCCTTCGTTGCCGCCTTTTTTAGAACCCACGGCGTTCTTTGTCAAATGACTGGGCCACAACAAAGGCGTTGGGCCGACAACATTTCCACAACTCCAAAGAAGGTATCACGACTCGAGACCTAGGTTGGCCTCGGGCCAGAGCTATCTCGGGCTTCTAATGCTCACCAACGTCTTGGATATATAGAGTCTTTTAGTCCCTTGAGGCCTATTTATAGAACAAAGGCCTTGGTGCCTCAAAGATTGAATTGAACTTGTCATGTTCCAAGCCCAGATACACTGTCCTTGTCACATTCTTACTGCTGGGAGTCTTGGGATAAAGTAAATAACGTTGGCACCCGTAAATGGGATTCAATTTTACGCTCCGATATTCTATGCTGGCTGCATTAATTCTCAACGTAGTATCGCAAGAATATGAGATGCTGTTGGAAATAGCTTTCATTATGGCAATAGATACTTGTTCTCACTACGTATGAGCTTAATAGGTCTTATTTCCAGGCTTTACCGAGAGCTTCTCCAATTAACGTAAATCCAGTCAACATTGCATACTACTAGGCGTGGCAACAGCCAAAGGTCGCGTCGATCCAGCGGGAGCCCATGAACTGTTTGCGCGTGATTATAGCCTGATTGACATGACTCGTAACCGTTTTGTGGCATGCCGGCATGATCGGGTTAGGGTTGGATCGACGCCTTTCTCCACAGGGCGCCGGTTCGCTAGCGCCGGATTGCGTGTCGTCCAAGCTGTACAGTGTACATGGTTCGTCAGACGCCCGCATCTGCATGTCTCGCCATCTCGGGCAGACGAAGGAATCATGAAGTTCCCTGTTGCGTAGCGAGCGAGGTTATAAAAGCCAATCTGTGAATGAATGACGCCACGGCGTGAAACATGCGAATTATGACCATGACCTGTACACGTTGTATCCAAACGCAGGGAAGGATGTATGGTAGATTTGTAACCTGGTAAAATACTTGGGTTTTTACATCCAGCTAAAGCTGCTACCTTGGTATGTTGCTTATTCGATTCAAACCCTTGCATAAACAGGAAGACGTACTCGAGTTATTTATAATAGATTATTAATACGTAAGCAACCTGTCACGCAGCACGATTATATAACATGGTTTAAATAAAACAGGAGACTTTACATTTTTTATATAATCTAATAAATACAATGTAAAGCTATAAAATATCATCGCTGGGGTAAATTATATGGCACATTATATTACGAAACCATTTACCTTGATATAGTAAATTGCTTCTAATCTATTTATACTTCTGTCCTGGTGCTCCATTCTTGTATACCCCAGGCAATAAGCTTTATAGTACTCCCATCCCATCCAGCGGGCCTGAAAGAGAATTGGTCTTTTACGCTATTCGTCCACCTTGACCGGCGATTAATGTGTGCTTCGTAACTTGGGAGCCGTGGCCAGAAATGCTGCGGCTACACCAATAGCAGCAATTGTAGTACATGCGGCGAATGCATGCCGGATACCATCGTAGCAAACCAGACGAGCCTGCAGCTGAATTTCCGGCGGCAGCTTGTGGATGCCAGAAGCTGAATGTCGTATCTTGTCAATGACCTATTTGTGAAGGGGAAAAAGGTACGTTAGCTTTGGAACATCCTTTGACCACAGAAAGGAATAAAGGTTGCTTTAGAAAACAGGGCGTACTCTCCATTTATCAGTGATCCCGCTCAAAGCGCCCGGGAGACGAGCGCGGAGCGACGTTTGCACGACAGAGGTGACTGACACTCCCCAAACGCCACCGAGCAAGCGAATCAAGTACACGGTAGATGTCGCAACGGCGTGGTCTACAGGGACATGGGATTAGAACGGCCCAGATGTGTATTTGAACAGGTTGGTAACATGCGTTGGTGCTCAAACGAGGCCAGCAAGGTGAATGGTATAGATGTAGACCACGCCTTGACCTAGATTAGCCGGGAAGATGTAGGCAAAGTATTTCCAACCTAATTCAACAAATTACAAAGAGAAGACAAGAGCATTTCCCTCAGCTATTAAAGTAGAGCCGATTCTCATCATAGAAATACGCTTACTGTAGCGGGACATGGCGACCCCGGCGATCACCGAGCCGATAGGCGTCGCCAGCGAGGGGATAACCAGGCGAGCCCCGGCCCTAGACGCCGACTCCAACAGGACAACCTGAAAAAATAGGGGAACCATGAACAAGAACTGCCGAGATGTAGCAACCGGGGTCGAGAGAATGCCAAATATATTGTGGCCCTTACCCCATAGGCGGCGCACCCGGCACACGCATTCGATATCTGCGTCGCGACAGGCAGCCGGCCTTCAACGTGCGAAGAGGAATCGTGGGAATGGAAGACGTCCTGCCCTCGACGACGACTACATGGACTTGTCTGGGAACATTCTTGTCCGTTTTCAGCCGCGTAGATATATATGCCTCGTGGGCATGGCGTGGTGGAAAACGCGTGCACCCTGTGGAATATCAAGTGTTGAATCTGGCCGGGAGTCGGAAGTCAGACGGCTGCCAGTTTCGGACGCCGACCAATACGTGAGTGGCCGGACCGAGATCGGCCCCACACCGACTTGCGCCGTACGGGGACGGATGGCCAGGCGGAACGTATCAATATCTAGCTACAAAACGGCCATCGACTTTGTAAGAAGGCCACTTTCCATCATGATCATCGTCTAGTCTTGGCAGGCAATGAGTACAAGGCGGTGCAGGACTACTCCAAGATACACATGGCTTTGAATTTGTGGCCAGTCCACTTAGTTGCCAACGGGTACGCTATTTTGGGTGGGCAGCCCTGGGGTTGCACGCTTGTCAGCCGTGTGCCATTTTCCATGTGCACAAGAGGAGTCCTCAAGCTCGGCTTGTCTGGCAAATCTGCGAAAAGTATGAGGGGTTTATTTCTACGAAAATGGCAGATCCGGAAACGGGAGATGCATGTATCAAGACAGGGCAGAGTGGCATGTTTCCCACCGCACAGCACATCTCGTTGTAGGCCAAGAATGGGCAAAAAGGAGTATTCGCTTTTATACAAAACTATGCTTTGAACGCCGTCCCAGAAATACAAATGCCTCATCTTCATACGCGCCATCACTCGCCATGTCCTTGCCCTACGCGTCATAGCCATGTTTGGTTCCCAAAACGCCGTCGCCGCCACTGCTTCTCCTCCTCTTGCCAATCACCTCACGGAACCACTCGCTCAGCGTAAAGCCCCAGTGCCCAGCGACCAACACGCCCGAAAGCACATTGATGAGCTTGACGACAAACATCAAGATGCCGTCGCGGTCCTCGTTTACGGATAGCAGGATGGGCTCAATATCGTACTTGACAAAGACGCCGGGAACGTTGTATTCAGACACGCCCTTGCTCTGCTCGGTAACGGCATACTGGTTGGTAAAGATGGAACTGGAGCCGACGCTGTAGCGGGTTGGCACCACGGAGACGTAGTACTGGAATTTGTGGAAGTGGTTCTCGGCAATGTTCAAGGTGCGATCAAGAGGGTTCACCAGGGAAGGGTAGTATGAGCCAAAGGACAATTCGGAGATGATGTGTGAAAAGTTGAATTCTGCGTCATCTGTCAGTCTCCTCTTTCTCTTCCCCCTGCGAGTATTCACAAGCGTAGTTACTTACGTTCGTGGTCCAAATGGCTACCCTGGCCGCGGTACCCATGGCCTCTAGCCGTTATGTGAAAATCACCCTGCACCTTGTTCAAATCCAAGCTTCCATAGATTCGGCAGCTATCGGGGGGGCCTTTGACTCGAGGCGTCTTGGCCCATTTGGCCCTCCTCTGGCCGAGAGCCACGATGTCGTGAACGTGTTCCTCCCCAAAGCCTTCGTCGTCCAGGTTCTGCCACCCTGCGCCGGTTATGACACGGCCCTCGCTGTCTCTTCCCAGCTTATGCACACCCTTTTGGTTCACCCACTGTGACCAGCTCGTCTCGTCCATGTTCAGCTTGGAGCCGGCCAGGATGCGATCGCCAGCAGCATCCTGGACGTTGATGTGTAAATCGCCGCACTTCATGAGGATGACGGTATCGAGATTGATTTGCATCGAGTGTGAAACCCCCTTTTCAACAGCGAATGTATGGGACTCGGCGCCGCGCCACCATCGTGCGATTTCGGCCCAAAGCAGGAAGATGGACACGACTGCCATGGCCACGGTCCATTTGCCACCACCCTCGGTGCGGGTGACATATTCGGGTTTTGACTTGGCTGAAGGAATACAGAGTGAGTATGAGGTCAAGACATTGTGCGTATGCAAAACTTACGAAAGGCGTCGAATGCGCTCACAATGCTGCCTTTTGCGCCAAAGTTGTCCTCATTGAGGCCCTGCTTCTCGAAGTGATTCATGATGCATGCGGCTCCGGGAGAGGGCCAGGAACAAAAATACAACCTAGGATCGGGACTGAATATTAGTCCATCAACACCCCAGAATATATTTAGGTTTGCAGTCCAATCTTGCGAATGGACGACGTTGTGGAGGGTTGACGGGGCGCTTTGATGCTGCTCAGGTGTGTGGAATGTAATAATAGCATCTTGGGCCTTGAGGACAGCTTGACATTAAGCTCACACACAAAGAAGTGCCCCTTGTTTGAATTCCAGATGATGATTGGCTGAAGGGACAGGTTCGGGATCAAAGTCGGACCGTGTACCCTTGTGGGTCCTTTGTGAGTGCCCAGGGGCCGAGGTGAAATGATGGACGTGTTTGTGACGCGGCTCACTGGGTGCCACCAGGAGGGCAAAATCCTACCAAAACATCACAGACTCTTTTGATGGTCTCACCAGGGCGTCATGATGAGGTGGCACGGTCTTTGGGCCAACCCTTGTCAAGTCGCCAGTTACAACATCAGCAGGAAAACAGCTTGTCAACGTCATGCGGCCTCTGCACGCCATCAGACAGACCAGATCAAGAACTGATGGCGCCAAGCATGGAGAAAAGCGAATTTACCTCGAGCAACACTTGCAGGGTTGCTCACGCGGTTTCAGGGAACGCTGAACCAGGCATTGGAGGCACAAGCGAGAGGAATGGCTGTGCCATGTCCATCTTCCATATCCACAAGCGGCGTGCTTTGGCCTAGCTCAGCCAAGGCGCCAAAACAAGGGACAAGACTTGTGTCGATCGGGTAATGCGGCAAGCGATGCTTGGCATCGATCCTGTTTCTGGGGACGTTGGCCAAGACGACCTCATCTATGTTTCCAGGCGTAGTTTGCATGATTGCCATGCTGGGTAACAAGATGGCCTGGCTGAATGCCAGTTTGATCGTGTAGAGGATTGCCGCCAGGATGGTTGTCTTGTAATTTTGGGACAACCAAACATGATTGGAACCAGGTCACTGGCGCCTATCCGACTGCCACCCACCCACTCACACCGTCACACAAGTTCTTGTACATCCATCCTCATACAATGCACGCTCGCACTTGATGTTCCCGGTTCATTCATTTTCCCTCCTCCCCCATTCATCCATGTATCCCCCCCCTGACCACACGGACTCCCGTCGACTCTCCCAACTCTTCTTCGCTCATTCATTCCACGACATCCAACTGCAATCTCGACTCGAGGCCCGCAACTACCGTCATTCTCGTCGACACGAATCCCTTCATCGTTGCGGCGACTAGCCTGGCAACGCTGCCATCGCCTCGTGCGCCCTAATACCTCACACGGCAGCTCAGGTCCGATTAAACAGTGCCGCACATGAGCACCATCGTCTAGTACCGTGCCCTCAGAGTTCTCCCACTCTCGCTTGACTGTCACTCGCTCAGCACCCAAACCTCGTCAAAACAAACACCCTCGTTCAACGACCACTACGTGGAATTTGGCATCGCACCATGAAGCCGTCCATCTCGCCGCGTCCGACGGGCGTTATGCTCCTGGCCGCTGCGGCCTTTGCTCAGGCACAGACATCACCTTTCTCTATTGACAGCACTGGTAAGACCACGCCCATGTCCACGCCTAGGATTGTACGACGTCAGCTCGTCAAGCCATGGCAATGCTAATGCTCGTCTTTTCAGCTGCCATCAAGCAAAGTTCTTCCACTCTTGCATGGGATATGTTGCAATACTATAAAGGCAATTTAACTGGCCAGACGCCCGGTATTTTACCTGGTCCTCCGCCCGCTGGTGACTACTACTGGTGGGAAGGTGGTGCCATGTGGGGGACATTAATCGATTATTGGTACTGGACGGGCGATTCAACTTATAACAACGAGATCATGCAGTCGATGCTGTTTCAAGTCGGCGAAAATAAGGATTACATGCCTCGAAACGTCACGGCATCCTTGGGTAACGACGACCAAGGCTTCTGGGGCATGGCCGCCATGTCTGCCGCCGAAAATGGCTTCCCTGATCCTCCATCTGACAAGCCCCAGTGGCTAGAGCTTGCGCAGGCCGTCTTTAACACCCAAGCCAGTCCTGATCGCCATGACTCGACCTGCGGTGGTGGCTTGCGGTGGCAGATTCCCTTTGCCAACAACGGATATGACTACAAGAACAGCATCGCCAATGGTTGCTTCTTCAACATGGGTGCCCGTCTGGCTCGCTATACCCGCAACACAACCTACTCGGACTGGGCCGACAGGACATGGGATTGGATGTGGAACATTGGGTTCATTGACAATAAAAACTACGCCATCTACGACGGCGCCAAGGTGACTAATGGCTGCAAAGATATCAACAGGGCTGAGTTTTCTTACAATAATGCCGTATTTGCAGAAGGTGTTGCCTTTATGTACAACTATGTGAGTAATTGCACGTGTGCGCCATGACAAGTCATCATTATTAACCTTGGGTAGACAAACGGAAACGCGACGTGGAAGGCAAGACTGGACGGACTCATCAAACATGGAATGGAGACTTTTCTTCCCAAGGGAATCGCAGTTGAGATATCGTGCGAAAATGCGGGAACTTGCACCACGGATATGCTTACATTTAAAGGCTTCCTCCATCGTTGGTACTCGACCATTACACAACTCGCGCCCTACACTGCCGAGACAATCCGTCCAGTCTTGAAGACATCGGCCGAGGCTGCCGTCAAGCAATGCACGGGTGGGGCTCTGGGACGACAGTGCGGCTTCAAGTGGGCTAGCGGTGTCTACGACGGCAAGACTGGCGCTGGTCAGGAGATGGCAGCCCTCTCCGCTGCCATGTCCCTTCTCATTCCTCAGGCCAAGGCTCCCGTGACGGAGAAGGATGGGGGAACGTCCAAGGGCAACCCCAACGCTGGTGGTAGTGGTGATGATGCCCAGAAGAAGAGCAAGCCCATTACGACTGCCGACAAGGCCGGCGCTGGTATCCTCACCATCCTGGTGTTGGGGTCTGCGTGCGGTATCTTTGGGTGGATGAGCGTGGGTGTTTGACCGGCCAATGTCATGAAGCACCAAAAAAAAAGAAAAAAAGAAAAAAACCAATCTATGACATGAATCGGGCCTGGCTGTAAGCCTGGCGGTTTAATTTGAGACATTGATATATGGTCTGGCAAGATCATTTTGCACTACTTGCTATTTTGAAGGACTTGGAAAAGATGGGATGATTTTACGGCGTTGGGAGGAAGGGGGTTGGGGGTCACAGGCTAACAGCAGCAGCTATCTGTGCTATCTTGATACCGTTTTCTTCTTCTTTTCTTATGCTGGCAGCTTTGGTATCGACAACCAGTGTCGATTGACTGGGTCGAACAAGTGCCACCTAATTTTTTTTTTTTGGGGGGGGTTTAAATTTTGATTTACGGCCGCAAGCGCGCATTCACGGCACGGGACCGCGAGCCAACGATACGGGAAAGATGTAGCGTGGAAACTTCCTATAGTAATAGAAGGACTGGTGTGATTACAAAATCTTGGGTCACTGTCTTTTGCAAGCTCTAGTTGAAGATGGCGCACCGTGTGCGTCGGTAGGCCACTTTGATGCGCGACGTCGAGCCACAAGATTTGCTGTTGGCTGACCAGTCCTCGTAACCAATCACACAGCTGCGGCGACCTGGGCATCGGGAGGCGCCGATGGTGCAAAAAACCAGCACAGCAACCAGGTCACGAGGCCAGCAAAACATTCAACAGACCGTGACCCCAACCCACCGTCGTCTGTACTAAGGGCGAGCGCTTGCCCGACGGCCAATTCTTGATTCACGTTGTCGCCCTGCTCGCATCCGGGCGACTCAGTCCCCGGCGCATCTGCATCTTCCGCCATTCCCGCCCATTTCGATGGGGTAATAGGAACTCGATTCCCCTCAATGGCACAATGAGGTGACGCCGCAAAGAGGGGCGAGCACGCACATCCACGCCCATCCACGCCCATCCACGCCCCCCGCGTGACGAGAGCCACCTTCAAACCTGCTGCTGCCCACCGCCAACGCTCCACTTTGCGGCCTTGGGTTGGAAACGTGGGGAAGCAAGCCAAGCGTTTTAGTGGCCATTTCTGCAATTTTTTTTTCCCTTCCTCCCTTGTATGTTTGATTTTTTTCTTTCTTTCCTTGTGTCGGCTGACCTGGTCTGGGAGGGGGGGCAAGCAAGATGAGTGGGCTTTGGGGTGTGTGTCGACGCCGTTTATAAGTCGTGAGTCCTGCTCTGGACCTCACCGACAGACCATATCATTCCCTTGTTGCCATTCTAGAAAGAAAGAAACACCGATTGACCAGCTAGACTTGGTTCAGTGTACCTCTTTTCGCAAAGCCGTTGCTTGCCATTGACGTCGCCAGCTACACCACAGCGTGCCGCGTACGACCTAATCACCACTTGCCCCCGTCGTGTTATTTGGCATAAGCGCAAACCACCACCACCCCAAGTGCTGGATATAAAGGACATCCCGCCATGCCGTACCTCGTCACCGAGCCCGCGCCCTCCACGACAAGTTACGTGCGCTGCGGCCGCGGCGGCGCGGGCAACACGTTTCGCGCGCAGGCAGCGCCGCCGCCGCGGGAGGTGTCATCGTCGTCGGCCGCGGCACCCTCGCCATCCCGCTTCTTCAGCGGCATCGGCGGCGCGGGCAACGCCCACTCTGCTTCGGAGCGGCCCCCGGCGACGGCCTCGCTCGACGACGCCGTCCGCCACGCGGCTGCGCGCGACAGCGCGCCCGTGGGGTACTGCGGCCGCGGGGGCGCCGGCAACGTCTACCGGCGCAAGGAGAGCGATGCGTCCAGCTCGTCTTGTGCGTCGAGCGTCCGCAGCAGCGTGAGCTCCACGGCCAAGCTGTGGAGTCGTGTGAGCTCGTTGGGACGCCAGTAGGGGGTCTTGGGGTGAAATTCGACTTTCGTTTTACGAGTGGTGTTTTGGGATCAATCTGGGTTGGGGCAAAAAGTGATTTTACTCGAGACGATGGAAGTGAGCGAGTTGGCGTTTTGTGTGTTTTTTTTTTACTGTTGGGGGACCTCAGAGCATACGCAGCGCGCATATTTGCATCTGGTGAACTGTTTTCATATACCCTTCCCCCCTCCCCCGCTGCGTGCGGTGTGTAGTTACTATCCGATTAATCAAGTAATGGACAAGAAAAGATGATATATATCCGGCTTGAATCGTTCATCTCAGGTGGCCTGTTTACTTGACTACATGGGCTTTAGGCTCACAACCTTCTGTTTTCGAGTTGGACTTTTTGGTAGGCCGGCCATTCACTTTGTTCAACACCATGTTTCGCCAGCACCTCTCTGGCGTTTGGTTTGTTTCTTTCATACTCTGGCATCCATCAGGGTATCATTAAGCTGCTCTAGTCGCGGCCCCAAAACAACTCCGCCCAAGTTTACATCTCTCCCCTTTGCGTCATACCACATCATCATGTGGGCATGGGGCCTACATTCTCGGTGCGAGTGATGGCCGCCGAAATGCCCCTTGTCAAAACCATGTAATGCTCGCTCTCAAGTAAACTTGGTGTGGATAATATCCGGGTTCTCGTGCCAGTCGTCAACGCTCACCCACATCTTTGCGTGCTCGTCAGTCTCACAGTTTGCCGGCTAATGCTCAGGGAAAGAGACGGCTTACCTTGCGGAATGTGCTCAGTCCAGCGAGAATGCTTCCCCCGATCCATGTCGAGTATTTCCGCTCTGGTGGCGCAAAAATCTTTATCCTCATGTCCTTGACTGCCAGCCTCTGCAGCTCCGTTAGCAGCCGGTCGCCGAAACCCTTGGTCAATGTGCTTCCGCCCGACAGCACAATGTTGCCGTACAGCGACTTGCGCAGGTCGAGGTCTGTCCTGTTGATGGCGTCCACCACAATCTGGTGGACGCCAGGGTACTCGAGACCGATGAGTTCCGGGTCAAACAGGATTTCCGGCGCTCTGAATCGTTCTTGACCAATCTGTCCCCCGGTTAGCTAACCCAAGTCCCCAAGGGGAGAGGATGTATCGTGGCTTGTGGAATTACCTTGAGCTTGTGCCCATCGGGCAAGACATACTCGGCAAACTTGCTCTCGTTCGGCTTCACCCCAATCCAATCCCTCTCCTCTTTCCTCGGGTCGTGCGCCACATATGACACGCTCTCCTTAATCAGCCTCACCACCTCCTTCTCGGCACTCGTATGGAAGACATAGCCGCTCTTCCGTAACAGCGTTTGCAGGTGCTCTGTGACATCGCGTCCTGCCACGTCAATTCGTCGGATGCTGCTGGGCATGGCAAACCCCTCGTACACGGGCACCGCGTGCGATACACCGTCGCCAGAATCCAGCACAATACCAGTCGTTCGACCGCTGGCATATAATGACAAAACAGCCTGGATGGATGTGTGCAGTGCGGGGACGTTGAATGTTTCGAATAGAATCTGTGCGGCGGTATCACGGTTGCTTCGGGGGTTTAGAGGAGGTTCCGTCAACAGGACGGGATGCTGGATTTGTTGTTAGCAAATATCCTAGGTTTGATCCAGCTCGCGGCCCGCTCAGTCGTGGCATACCTCTTCACTCAACGTCTTCAGTCCCTCGCCATACACGTACTCCCATATCCGCTCCATATCATCCCAGTCTGTGACAATGCCGTGTTCCAGAGGATAGTGGATCTTGAGCAGGCCTCTCAGCTCACTGGCGGCCTTTTGGCCGATAAAAACATCGCCTTCCAGAGCGCCAGCAAGAACTCTCAGGTGCTTTGGCCTGCCCACCCACGAGGGGAAGAAGCATTTTGGCAAATCGTCGCCAGCGAAACCCGCGCGGATGGTTCCCGAACCATTGTCCAAGACAATGGGGGCATTGTGCAGTATCTCCGTCATGTTTTGGTGTTTGGTTGAATTTGAGAACCCGCCTGATGTTGATTGACTTGCCGCCTTTGTCTCGAGGCTCTTTGCTCTCTTCAATGTTGCCTTGACGTCCTCGCGGACCCCTGACCGAATGTCGTCGCGCGCAGTCTGGGCGTCGCAGCTTACTGCATGGACAAGACGAGATAAAATCAAGATGCGGAAACAAAAAAGAGTTGCTGAATTCTTACTTCGTCAAACCAAACGATATGCCAGTCCGTGTCGTGTTTTGAGCGGTCGTGTTCTGTTAATCGCCAACGACGACACATGGAGTTTTGCTATGAAGTTCACACGACGACACGCGCTGGCTTGTACCCAGGTATGTGCAAGCTAACCAACCCGCTTGGAGCACCGGGCTCCTCAGCACAACCAGAACCTTGTCTCAGTGCCCGTTGTGCTTGTGCTTCAGGAGAACGCCCCTCTCCCTCTGTGGCTCATGCCCGTCAAGCCATATCACGTGCTCTGGCGGAAGGGAGACGACGACTGGACGGGAGGCAGCGGCGCCTGAGGCAGGAACCACTTAAAGTGCTGCGCGTGGGTTCGCGTCTCTCAACGTGGACCGCGTCGTCGACGTGCCAACAATTTCGAGGTACACCTTGCAACCCTTGCAACGAACCCATTGATGCCCATGAGAACAAACTTGTACACTTGCTGGCTGCAGCGACCGTCCCTCTCCCCGGCTGCGTCTTTCTGAGCAGTGGAAATACCTTCTTGTTCATTTTCCATTCGATATTCGCTCCGAATTCCCGAGTTCCAGCCTCAGCATCTCCAATTGCATGGCGGCATAAAATCGCAATCTCTTCCCCATCCACAACCAAAATGGTCAAAGCCGGCGTTGCTGCGGTCAGTGCCGGTCCGGGCATCTACAGTGCTACCTACAGTGGTGTAAGAATCCCCAATCCTTCCATAAATTGATGGTCTTTGTTCAAGTATCGACACGCCGCCGGCTGTTTACGGCTTTGGCTTTGTTGAGCGATTTGGTGAAACCAACCATGCCACCACAGCTCCTCAAGGACTAAGCATCCAACTTTTAAATTTTCTCTATCCGTACTTTGAATGCGTCGCGGTTTTTTTGCTCACAATTTTCTCAGATTCCCGTCTATGAATTCCAATTCGGAGCCGACTTGAAGGAACATGTGATGCGACGAAGACATGATGACTGGATCAATGCGACACACATCCTAAAGGCTGCCGGCTTCGATAAACCAGCACGAACCAGAATCTTGGAACGAGACGTACAAAAGGACGTCCATGAAAAGATTCAAGGTGGATACGGCAAATATCAAGGTTGGTTATACAAAATTGCCGAGTCGTCCTTTGTGCATGTTTCCCTCTTTGCTGATTGAATAAATCAGGGACCTGGATCCCCCTCGATTCTGGCGAGGCCCTCGCCCAACGTCACAGCATTTACGACCGACTACGACCCATCTTTGAATTTGTCCCTGGAAACGAGAGTCCCCCGCCAGCACCCAGACATGCAACCAAACCGAAGGCATCCAAAGCCAAGCCGGCGCAGCCTCCACCGCCTCCGAAATGGGGTGCGGGTAAGTTATACAGCTTCGATATAACGCAACATTCCTCATCTCACACGAGCACAGGCGCTGTAATGGCACGTCATGAAGAGTTTGACAATGGAGACACTCTGATGGGGGAGGACGATACACCAGACAACTTGACTGTAGCATCAGCATCCTACATGGCAGACGACGATCATTTCGACATGTCCCACATGTCAACAAGTCACAGAAAACGAAAGAGGGAAGAGCACATGCAAGACCTCACGGAACAGCAACATGCGGTGTACGGGGACGAGCTCCTGGACTACTTTTTGCTCTCTAGGAACGAGCAGCCTGCTGTCAAACCAGACCCGCCGCCGAACTTCCAACCAGACTGGCTCATCGACGCTGAAAACCACACTGCTCTGCACTGGGCATCTGCCATGGGTGATGTCGACGTCATCAAGCAGCTGAAGCGTTTCAATTCAAATATCGCAGTAAAGAACATACGCGGGGAAACTCCATTTATGCGGTCTGTCAACTTTACAAACTGTTACGAAAAACAATCATTTCCTGCGGTGCTAAAGGAGCTATTCGAAACGGTAGACTCCAGAGACAACTCCGGCTGCACAGTGATTCATCACGCTGCCGTGATGAAGAATGGCAGAGTCTTTAGCCCGTCTTGTTCACGGTACTACTTGGATCTCATTCTGAACCGGCTGCAGGAAAACGTGGATCCCTCCACCTTCCAACAAATGCTGGACGTACAGGACAATGAAGGCAACACGGCACTGCATCTCGCTGCCCAGAGAAACGCTCGCAAATGTATCCGCGCACTCCTCGGCCGCAATGCATCGACAGATATTGCCAACAACGAGGGAATCCGAGCAGAAGACTTGATTATGGAGCTCAATGCTGCCAAGAAGGAGCGTGGGCCGCAACGGTCGTCCTCGCCATTTGCACCCGACTCGCAGAGGCACGCCTCATTCCGAGACGCCTTTGCCGACAACAAGAAGAAGCCGCCGGCATCTTTCCAGTCGGCAGCCGCAACAACAGTGCAGTCACGGATTGCGCCGCTGCTCATGGAAAAGTTTCAAGACCTGGCCAAGAGCTATGATGACGAATGGCACGAGAAGGACGTGGCGGAAGCCGAGGCGCGGCGCATTCTGGCAAACACGCAGGCGGACCTGCACGCGACGCACCAGCAAATTGCCGAGCTGGAGGCGCAACTCGAGACGGATGATGAGGCTACCAAGATTATGGGCGAGGCAAACAGATGCAAACATCAAGTATTATCGCTGATTACGCACCAGAACAGACTCCATATACATCAAGCGGTGGAAAGCGACATGAACAGAGTCAATGGCGATAACGGCGAAAACGACTCGTACGACGAGAGGCTGGCTCTCGCTCGTCAACTCAATTCACTTATCGGCGAGCTACGACAGGCAGAAAACGACTATGTGGACGCTCTGAGCATGGTGGGGACGGGAGACAAGATTGAAAAGTATAGAAAGCTGCT